GGGTAAGAGACAGGAGTAGGGAATAATGGAGAGGTAAGGTGAGAGGGTAAGAGACAGGAGAGGACTACGTGGATAAAGGGAGAAGAGGTAAGGATAGGGTGAGAGGGTAAGAGACCGGAGGAGGCTACGTGGGTGTAGGAAGAAGAGCTGAGGAAAGGTGAGAAGGTAAGAGACGGGAGGGGACTACGTCGGTGTAGGGATAAGAGGTGAGTATAGGAGAGAGGGTAAGAGACGGGAGGATACTACGTGGGTGTAGAGAGAAGAGGTGAGGAAAGGTTAGAGTGTAAGAGACGTGATGAGATTACGTGGGTAAAGGGAGGAGAAGTGGGTATAGGTGAGAGGGTAATAGACAGGAGGAGACTACGTGGGTAAAGAGAGGAGAGGTGAGTATAGGTGAGAGGGTAAGAGACAGGGGGAGACTACGTGGGTGTAGGGATAAGAGGTGAGGAAAGGTGAGAGGGTAATAGACGTGAGGAGATTACATGGGTAAAGGGAGGAGTAGTGAGTATAGGTGAGAGGTAAGAGATAGGGGGAGACTACGTGGGTGAAGGGAGAAGAGGTGAGTAAGGGTGAGAGTGTAAAAGACGGGAGGAGACTACGTGGGTGTAGGGAGAAGAGGTGGGGATAGGTGTAGGGGTAAGAGACAGGAGGAGACTACGTGGGTGAAGGGAGAAGAGGTGAGTAAGGGTGAGAGTGTGAGAGACGGGAGGAGACTACGTGGGTGTAGGGAGAAGAGGTGGGGATAGGTGTAATGGTAAGAGACAGGAGGAGACTACGTGGGTAAAGGGAGAAGAGGGGAAGTAATGTGAGAGGGTAAGAGATGGGGGGGGGGGGAGACTACGTGGGTGAAGGGAGAAGAGGTGAGGAAGGGTGAGAGTGTAAGAGACGGGAGGAGACTACGTGGGTGAAGGGAGAAGAGGTGAGTTATGGTGAGAGGGTAAGAGACGAAAGGACACTAAGTAGGTGTAGGGAGAAGAGGTGAGGTAGGGTGAGAGGGTAAGAGACGGAAAGAGACTAAGTGGGTGTAGGTAGAAGAAGTGAGGAAAGGTGAGAGGGTAAGAGACAGGAGGAGACTACGTGGGTAAAGGGAGGAGAGGTGAGTATAGGTGAGAGTGTAAGAGACGGGAGGATACTACGTGGGTGTAGGGAGAAGAGGTGAGGAAAGGTGAGAGGATAAGAGACAGGAGGAGACTACGTGGGTAAAGGGAGGTGAAGTGAGTATAGGTGAGAGGGTAAGAGACGGAAAGAGACTAAGTGGGTGTAGGGAATATTGGGGAGGAAAGGTGAGAGGGTTAGAGACAGGCGGAGACTACTTGGGTGAAGGGAGAAGAGGTGAGTTAGGATGAGAGTGTAAGAGACGGGAGGAGGCTACGTGGGTGTAGGGAGAAGAGGTAGGGTAGAGTGAGAGGGTTAGAGACAGGAGTAGGGAATATAGGGGAGGAAAGGTGAGAGGGTAAGAGACAGGCGGAGACTACGTGGGTGAAGGGAGAAGAGGTGAGGTTAGGGGCGAGGGTAAGAGACGGGGGAGACTACGTGGATGAAGGGAGAAGAGGTAGGATAGGGTGAGAGGGTAAGAGACCGGAGGAGGCTATGTGGGTGTAGGAAGAAGAGCTGAGGAAAGGTGAGAGGGTAAGAGACGGGAGGAGACGGGAGGAGACTACGTCGGTGTAGGGATAACAGGTGAGGAAAGGTGAGAGGGTAAGAGACAGGAGGAGACTACGTGGGTAAAGGGAGGAGAAGTGTGTATAGGTGAGAGGTAAGAGACAGGGGGAGACTACGTGGGTGTAGGGAGAAGAGGTGAGGAAAGGTGCGGGGGTAAGAGACAGGAGGAGACTACGTGGGTAAAGGGGGAAGAGGAGAGTATAGGTGAGAGGGTAAGAGACGGGAGGATACTACGTGGGTGTAGGGAGAAGAGGTGAGGTAGGGTGAGAGTGTAAGAGACGGGAGGAGACTACGTGGGTGTAGGGAGAAGAGATGGGGATAGGTGTAATGGTAAGAGACAGGAGAGAGGATAAGAGATGGGAGGGGGGAGACTACGTGGGTGAAGGGAGAAGAGGTGAGTTATGGTGAGAGGGTAAGAGACGGAAAGAGACTAAGTGGGTGTAGGGAATATTGGGGAGGAATGGTGAGAGGGTTAGAGACAGGCGGAGACTACTTGGGTGAAGGGAGAAGAGGTGAATTAGGGTGAGAGTGTAAGAGACGGGAGGAGGCTATGTGGGTGTAGGGAGAAGAGGTAGGGTATGGTGAGAGGGAAAGAGACAGGAGTAGGGAATACTGGAGAGGAAATGTTAGAGGGTAAGAGACAGGCGGAGACTACGTTGAGGTAGGGAGGAGAGGTGAGGTAGGGTGAGAGGGTAAGAGACTGGAGTAGGGAATACTGGAGAGGAAAGGTGAGTAGTAAGAGATAGGCGGAGACTACGTGGGTAAAGGGGGAATAGGTGCGGTACTGTGAGAGGGTAAGAGACGGGAGGAGACTACGTGGGTGAAGGGAAGCAGAGGTGTGGTAAGATGAGAGAGTAATAGACTGGCGGAGACTACATGGTTGTAGGGAGAAGAGGTGAGTTAAGGTGAGAGGGTAATAGAAAGGCGGAGATTACGTGGGTAAAGGGGGAAGAGGTGGGTTAAGGTGAAAGAATGAAAGACGAGAGGAAACTATGTGATTGTAGGGAGAAGAGGTGAGACAAGTTGAAAGGGTAAGAGACAGGCGGAGACTTCGCGGGTGAAAGAAGGAGATGTGAGGTAATGTGAGAGGGTAAGAGACGGGGGGAGACTACGTGCGTGTAGGGAGAAGGGGTGAGGATAGCTAAGAATGTAAAAGACGGGAAGAGGCTATACGTGGGTGAAGGGAGAAGAGGTAAGGTAAGGTGAGAGGGTAATAGACAGGAAGAGACTACGTGATTGTAGGGAGAAGAGGTGAGGTAATGTGAGAGGGTAAGAGAAGAGGGGAGACTACGTGGGTGAAGGGAGGAGAGGTGAGGTAATGTGAGAGGGTAATAGATGGTTAGAGACTACGTGAGTGAAAGGAGAAGATATGAGGTAGGGTGAGAGGGAAAGAGACGGTAGGAGACTACGTGGCTGAAGGGAGAAAAGGTGAGGTAAGGTGAGAGTGTAAGAGACGGTAGGAGACTACGTTGGTGAAGGGAGAAGAGGTTAGGATATGTGAGAGTGTAAGAGACGGTAGGAGACTACGAGGGTGAAGGTAAAGAGGTGAGGATAGGTGAGAGGGAAAGAGACGGTAGGAGACTATGTGGGTGTAGGGGGGAGAGGTGAGGATATGTGCGAGGGTAAGAGACGGGGGGAGACTACGTGATTGTAGGAAGAAGAGGTGAGGATAGGTGAAATAGTAGGAGGCAGGGAAAACTTCGTGGGTAAAGGGAGAAGAGATGAAGTAATGTGAGAGGGTAAGAGACGGGAGGACACTAAGTAGGTTTAGGGAGAAGAGGTGAGGATAGGTGAGAGAGTTAGAGCTAGGAGAAGACTAAGGTTAGGATGAAGAGGTGGAGGGGTGATTTTTGTATGCCTTCCATACATTGTACGACACATATTACGTTAACATCTAAACTTGTTATCAGGGAAATTTTATATTTGTATATGCTTTAAATCAAACAAAGACACTAGTTTATAGAATGCGATCGTTATACATATGTCTTTGATATTGTTTAAGATATTTCCTTTATCAATCGATGTGACTTAAACAAAGTGGTCAAGTGTCATTTATTCGAAAATAATTGATTGCCATTTATTTCTCTATTTAAACATGCTGTTAATAAAAGCTATATGAGTCATTAACTCGTGTTGTTAAAAGATTATAACACATTTGGCACATAATTTATGTGATCTTGTAGGTCGATCCAGTCTTTTTTATGAACAAAACCTTGGTGGTCATGTAACCTTACAATTACCAAGTTAAATATTACCACTCTCAAGTTAGATGTCAAATGACATTATTCTATAGACTTTAAAGCGTGTTTTTTTTTTGTATGGTAACCATTTAACTCGAAAATGTCATTCATTTTAACGACTTTAATTGGCAAGTTTTGTTTTAACCCACTACTGCAGCCAAATTGTATGACCCTTGGCTTCAATTATTTGATCCATGTGACCTTGAAAATGGGCCAAGGTCATTTATTAAACAAAGCATTTTACCCCTGTATCGATGAGCACGTGGTGGTCGAGTTAATATTGGTTGAACGAAATTGAATAGTGTTTCGGTCCAGTATATATGCTACATGCTGCAATAATCAGAAGACGCGCTATCGCATTTATAAGCTCACGGGCATTTAGCGTCGGGCAACTAAACTTAACCAGAAAATACTAAATAATTATATAAATATATACATGACAACATCTGTCTGACATATATAAATAAATTAAAAATAGATGTATTCCTGAAAACATTTATACACGAACACTTAACATATATGAATAAATGATATACACGTAAACAATACATATGTCCATGTTATTTCACCCCGAAAAAAAAACGTCCACGAAAAAAAAAAAAAGTGTTTTTTTCGCAAAATCGCAACTAAGCTGTGATTTGAAGCCTGTATTCTAAACAAGATCGATATGAAGATGTAACTGTTATACGGGGAAAATGCAAATGTTACAAATCCCAATACATTATTTCTGTAGTGTTTAGATTGGATAGGGAACAAAAATATGCATCTTAACAACAGATTTATTTTTAATTCAATGACAAATGTTTATGCTGTAATAAAACTGATCGCAATAAATAAGCACTGCTCTTCTTTCGTGTGGTGTCATGTCAAGAAACCCCGGGAAACATTCCGGATTTTGAGTCCGTTATTCCGTTTTGGGGCTTAGTTTGACTAATGTCGTCACGTATGAAACAAAGTTATTTCGACACAATAGTATATACAAAATAAACCCTAACAACGGGTTCTGTAAATCAACGTCGAACTTTCTGTATCTATATTTTTAAATAGTTTTAATATATTTAGGGTGTGTATATTGAACATTGTACAAAACCACTTCCGGTTGTGACGTCACGAAGAGAAAAATCTCTTGGGTGGATGATACACAGTCGTTTCATTGTTTTGGTCACCGTCTCGTAAAAAACATGTCTTCTCTTGAAATGAAGATGGAGACATGTACTTCCTCAGACGAGAGAGTGGATCAAAAGAGGGTATATATCTATTTCATTTGTCATATTTTGTAAAAACTGTGTCGGGTTTCAAGGACCGATTTGCGACGCCATCTTACTTGATTGACAACTTCAGGACAGAACAAAACATTGCGATATCAAGTAAAAAAACCCACATATTAATATTATATAAACATGAGTTTGTAAGATTTGATTATGTTTATTTGTTTTAGGTATCAATGTAGTTTTTGTTTTGAACATCTACTCGCTGAATACGCAAAACACAATCACACGATTTACAATAGAATTTCAGTTCTTCCCTTCCTCGAACAAGTAATTCCGAGTATTAGGTACACTTACAAATAATTCTGATTAAATGTTTTTCATACATATGTGTGTTTGTCATGTATTTAATCTCACTGTATAAATACAAATAAAAAATAGGGTTGTTAAACCTTCATTTTGAGTTTTAGATTATATCCTATTTTGTTGTAGGAAAGGCAACAATATCCTCGCGACCTATATGACGTCAAAGTTAAAAAGGATATTCCGACATGAAAATATAATACTTAGAGACAATTGCCTAGAAAGATATGTAACAAATTACATCCAGAAGATGTTATGTACAATTTATTTGTTACTTGCCTGTATTCTTTTGTTGTTTTATATATATATATAGTATTTATTTGATTTCCTGTGTGTTGATATATATATATATAATGGTTTATGTCATCATATTAGCTGATAAATAGGTCATATGAAGACAGTGTTCATGTATGATAAAGCCACTTAAGCAGGTCCAGTACACTCTGTCGATTGAGCTACATAGCTGTAAAGACCTATAGTAGCTCTATTGACCTATCTGATATAGGTCTTTTGAGCTATTTTCATGTGATTTCCTTTTTTAAGGAAAACGAAACAAAGTCGCTTTTAAAAGAAGATTTTATCATTAGGTAGATAACAAAAGACATTAAATATAAGCATTCTTTTTATAAAATAATGATGTAAAAAACTCAAAAATTTAACATTTATGAAAAATGAAAATAAACATCTAAATGTATGCTTTTTGTAGTCAACATTACCATAAACCTTATTGTTTTACGCGACTTTCCTTTAATTTAATGAAAATTGAAATCTGAGAAAATATAGCTCAATACAGCTATAATTTATAGGTGAATATAGCTATATAGGTCTTTATAGCTATATAGCTCAAACGGTAGAGTGTACTGGACCTGTTAAGGATATATTAAAGTGTCCTTTTACTGAAATGGCAAATCATGGATGCATGTACTGTAGTATGACCCATGACTATCTTCAACAGTCATATTTGTCTAATAATGACTAGAAGTGCTGAGGGAGACAAGCGAGAAAAGAAATGATGTCCTCAAAAGTGTTGCTGTGAGAAAAGCACCAAGTTTGAACTCATACTTGTTACAAAGAAGATTGGATTGCTTATTCTGCATGGATAGACAGCTCATTTTTGATAAATCATGATCACCTTATAAAATTAATTAGCAGTTTCTTTTCAGATGTCTTCACCTTGCAGGAGATTGATTTCTTGTAACCAATGACTGCAATTTCCAATTACTGTAATTGTAAACAACAAGTTTAACCAGAATATTGAGAGATTCTTCTGCAATGTTTTATTGGTGGTACACTTTTGAGAGTCAGAAAGGGGAAGATTGAGTATTTGCAGCCAGTATTTGTTCTTTTTATTAAATTGTTCTATCATTTAAGATGTTACTAAGGAACTAGGTATAAAATATAGCCAAAACAAATATGTATATTTCAGGTACCCCAACCAACCACAACCTAACAATTTTATCTCACTTGAATGCACTTAAACTTCCAATTTGAACGCACCTTACAATACAATGAAAATGTAACAATTTGTCTGAATAACTTTGTTTGGTGATTTTTGTAATTACTTGTACTATAATTAATTAATTAGCCCAATATTGGAGACAACATATATATATAAAACCAAAAATGACCATAAATAGGAAACTCATTAAAGATACTATTTATATTTTATAGCTTATTTAGCTGTAATATCAAATACATTTTGTTATCTTTTTTGTTGATTGGCATACATGCATAGCTCCATAGAAAGATTATGTGAAACCTATTAATATTTAGTATAAGGTTATAAGCTTGAATGTTAATTTGTTACATTTTTGTCAATCTCTATTATGAAATTTTCAGGTGGAGACTGCTGCAATGATCACGTCATTAACGCCTCGTACACCGGAACCGTCACCTCAGTATAATCAGGATCGTGATATATGTATAAAGTGTTTTGATGGCTGGACCGAAAATGACCAAGTTGTGTTTGTTGAACATTTATTATCTCGGATGTGTCATTACCAACATGGACAGATTAACACATTTTTAAAACCTATGTTGCAAAGAGATTTCATTTCAGCACTGCCAGGTAATTACATATTTTTTTTTAAACTATTGTATATAATGAAAGTAGAATTTCAGAGAAAGGAATACTTCTTCATTTTGGATAATAATGTCAACATTCTATCTTCAACTTAAAGTTGTAGAAGTAAAATTTATTATGCATAAAGTGTAGCTTTACCTCATTTAGAAGGCTAAAACAGGTCGTTGGGAATTCATAAAAATTTGTTGCATCAAATGTAAATTTCAAAGGATAAAATAAATAACTTTGTACGTGTACATAGTGATTAGTTATTACAAAGTTAAAGAATAATGTACTTTGTGAATTTCTTTTTCGTATTTTAACTGTTCACCTTTACATTTTACAGCAAAGGGTTTAGATCATGTAGCAGAGTCCATCCTTTCCTTCCTGGATGCCAAATCATTATGTGCAGCAGAGTTAGTGTGCAAAGAGTGGTACCGTGTGATCTCAGAAGGAATGCTATGGAAGAAATTAATAGAGAGAATGGTGCGCACAGATCCCTTATGGCAAGGGCTAGCAGAAAGACGAGGATGGTACGTCAGAAAAGTTTGCTAAGTATTTGTATGTTGGTGTCTTGGTTTGAGATTGCTCTTCTGTCTCGATCATCATCAGTGAAATCAGAAGGCTTGCACAAATCATGTACATGTAAATTACTTATAAAAATAGTCCATATAAACCTTTACATGTACCAAAAGTTAAAAAAAAGATGATTAATATTCAATGTCATCGGTAGATAGTGATCCTGCTAAATATCTTGTATAATGAATACGTTAGCATGTATTTTGAAAGAAAGTTTCTCTGTTTATTTATATAATTACTTGTTATAGGAAACACATTTTAGTTAGGTGTAAACATCACGTTTTTTTCATATCTTTAGAAAATATGCATTTGTAGTTATTAATTATTCTGCCTGAAACAATAACCTAAAATGTGAATTTGATAAAGTAATTTTAGTTGTGAAAAGATAATAGTTTATCCAATCCTTAATTTTTTTCTCTTTCAGGATTCACTTTTTGTTCAAACCTAAGCCTGGAGAGCCCCAGAAAGACCACAAATTCTACAGAAACCTATACCCAAACATCATTCAGGACATTGAGGTGAGTGTTAAGATATTCACAAATATAGTCAGAACATATTTTGGGTGTAAGACTATACCGTTTCCTATTATATATGTATCTATAGGTGTGAGTGTTAAAATATTCTCAAAACATTCCCACATACATTTTAAACTTATTTACGAGTACAATGATGTCCTAGTATCCTAAATTGTGAGCAACTATATATATATGAAGGATGTGTGTCCAGGTCATGGGTAATATATATATATATAAATTGTTCATTTCTTTCAAATTTCTAGTACCGTTGTGATAAAGCTTATATGTAGATATTTAGACAGCACCGCTTCCCACACGGCTTGGATACGCACAGTCTTGCATAGAATATTCCTACATTTTGATTGTTCACAAGTCAATTTCTGGCACTAAGAGGGGTATACGTAGCAGTCATAAATGAGAATTAACATCTTCCTTTCTTTCAAATTCTTTAATCTAAAGGATGACTGCTACCTGCAACGTACAAACATAATATAATGATCAGTTACTTGAGGAGTAGTATTACATCATCATAATTATGACACTAAAGTCAATGTCACCTATATGTTAAGCCTCACTGACTTTTGATGAGACTTTGTATTAACCCCATTACCAACAAAGCGAGAGTGAAGGCCTATTGCACATGGTTTTATTTCTCCTGTTTCTGTAAACAGAAAATAGAGAACAATTGGCGGACGGGCCGACACACCTTACAGAGGATACATTGTCGCAGCGAGACAAGCAAAGGTGTATACTGCCTACAGTACGACGAGACCAGGATCATCAGCGGCCTCAGGGACAACACGATTAAGGTATGCATAGCAAATTTTATGATAGGTTTGTTTAAATAAAATGGAAAAGTTTTAATATAATAACTGGGTCACTCAAAATTCTTCTCAAGCTTTCATGTTTGAAACACTTCTTTGAGATTGCTTTTCAGTTGAAAAGTTCAGAGGTCATGCTTTCTTTGCCTCAGTTGGACCCCACATTATACATCATTCAGATTTATTTTGTGTCCAAAGACTAATGGTCACAAAAACAAAAAAACTTATTAGTTCTGAATAGTACGCTGTAAGTAGAAAATCTTTACCTGTATGTCAAAAATCCACTGCAATGTATTCTCTCAGCTTTATAGTATAATGATAATTGTTCACGTTATTTTATAAGAGAAGCCATTTTCCCACTTTATTATGCAAGTCTATATTATTTTTGCAGTTTTTATGCTTATTTATCAAGATCTTGTGAGATTTAAGTTCAAAAAGTATGTGATTCTTAAAACTCGTTATATAAAGTATTTCTAGACATTTCATTTTAAAAATGTATTGTTTAATCAATAATAGGATAATATTATCCACTATCAAATCAGCATCCTTAGAACTGAATTGTCCAAATATAAATTCCTGTTTATCAAAATTCAAATCAATATTACTGGTTGCAAGCAATTGTTTTAGTTCTCTCAAAATTTCACATACTTTACCACAATCCCAAAATAGATGTTCAATTGTTTCTGGAAATCTTTTACAAAAAGTACAAGTTGAATTTTGTTTTATTCCCATTTTTTGTAGGAGTGTGTTTTTTAGTTAAGATTCTATGGTTAATTCGGTATTGAAGCCTTCTTAATTAAGTACTATCAGTAGTTTTCAAAGGACATGCATAAATCTTTTTCCATAACTTGTCCTGAATGTTAAAAACCGTAGACCATTTCCTTTGTGACGTGGGTTTTGTATCATTTTGGCATAAAACAGCATAAATATCCTGTTACCCTTTAATCTTCCTTAATATAATATTAAGATTTAAAGGTATATCAGGTATTGGTCATGCTAAACTTCATACCTTGTTTGTGATAAAATTCCACCAGATTTTATTTGGAGTCAGAATGTTTTGTCTATGTGTCAAGTGTGAGAGATATTGTGTTTACAGATCTGGAACAGAACTTCCCTGGAGTGTATTCAGGTGTTGACTGGACACACAGGCTCTGTGCTGTGTCTACAGTATGACGACAACATCATCATCTCTGGCTCCAGTGACTCAACTGTCAGGTAGGTAGAAAACTCTGGCTCCAGTGACTCAACTGTCAGGTAGGTACAACATCTCCGGCTCCAGTGACTCAACTGTCAGGTAGGTAGAAAACTCCGGCTCCAGTGACTCAACTGTCAGGTAGGTACAACATCTCCCGCTCCAGTGACTCAACTGTCAGGTAGGTAGAAAACTCTGGCTCTAGTGACTCAACTGTCAGGTTGGTACAACATCTTGGGCTCCAGTGACTCGACTGTTAGGTAGGTTCAACATCTCTGACTCCAGTGACTCAACTGTCAGATAGATACAACATCTCTGGCTCAAGTGACTCAACTGTCAGGTAGGTACAACATCTCGGGGCTCCAGTGACTCAACTGTCAGGAAGGTACAACATCTCGGGCTCCAGTGACTCAACTGTCAGGTAGGTACAACATCTTGGGCTCCAGTGACTCAATTGTCAGGTAGATACAACATCTCTGGCTCCAGTGACTCAACTGTCAGGTAGGTACAACATCTTGGGCTCCAGTGACTCAACTGTCGGGTGGGTACAACATCTCTGGCTCCAGTGACTCAACTGTCAGGAAGGTGCAACATTTCCTGTTCCTGCCAGGCAAGATGTTGGCTCCAAAGGGTCCATGGTCAAATACCATCTTTCTAAATACCCTTTGACATTACTCATTAGAATTTTCAAACTGTTGTGAACTTAATGGAGGATATTGCAGTTCTGTTATGGTTATCCATTGACAAAAGAATTTTACTGGAAACTCATATTAAATCAAAACCCTAAATGACTAATTGAGATGATTTGATAAAATGAATGAAAATTGGTTATTTGAATTCTGCCTTTTAAATATAATTTAACAAATGTATTGATTACAGAGTGTGGGATGTCCGTACCGGAGAAATGTTGAACACTTTGATTCACCACTGTGAAGCTGTTCTCCATCTTCGATTCTGTGATGGAATCATGGTCACCTGTTCAAAGGTAGGACACGTTTTTACGAGATAATGTGTCTTGAGTAAGTGTTAATTTTCTTTTCATTTTAAAAATAATCATTAATCAATACAACCAATATGGAACTGAGTTTGCAAAAATGAAATGTAGTTGTATCCTCTTTAAAGGATAAGATTCCAATAAATTATATCTTTAATTTTGTCTCATGGTTAGTATATACGGTAAACCTTCGGTCAGTTCAAACAAAATTAAATAAATGTTGATGAACCTGTTCGGATTATTTAAAGTTATGCTTCAGAAAATAAGCGCGAGTTCGAACTATCGGCAAAAAAATTGGCAAAGTGCAAATCAAGTCACAAACATATACCCGACATATTTTCTTCACCGGAGTATACCTCTATTTATCCAATGTAAGGTCGATACGTAACAACGACGGCCTGGCATAGAAAAATGGCACATTTATAAATGGGTAAAATGATAGTATATTATTTAATTCAATGTTAATTGATCATTAAACTTTCTTCATTTCATGTTAATTATGATCGTTATTGTGAAGCAGAGTCCGTTGTGTAGGCCCCGAAACAGTACACGTTTCACTTGTGACACAAAAGTTAAGACTACCTAGCTTGTATCAGAGACCTAAATATTGAGTCTCTGCGTGGTTAGGTTTTATTTGAATCAGAAACTATTGTATATATTATTTCGTAATGAATGGTCCGTTTAATAAATTGAAAACATAGTCTACATAACCTGTTGCGTTTACAAAGCGCTACTGTACAGTAAATATAGGTCTATATGTTAGTAAAATTAGGTCAGAACATCAACATGTCTGCTTTAAATTATAAGTGTAATAGTCCTAATACCTACCAAACTTATTTGACACCTTCAAAATTACCCATCGCTAATTGGGACACCTGTGGATTGTTTGGACTTTGACATGTATACTAATCACGTCTCTCACAATGGCTGGGCGGCCGATTCCTATCGCGACCTCGTGTCCTGCCCTACCTGGTGTGAGGGCACACGTTTACAGGTAATACCTTGATTGGCAATAATTAAGGGATGTCTGGTCGCAATAAAATAATCAAAATGCTTAGTTAACACTGTATTTGACAACACACGGGCGATTTCTTAGCGTACAGCCATACAGCGTGACATCAGTTCGTACCTATCGCATGTTATTTATACATTGTTGGGGCCTAAGTTGAAATTGGCTGTCTCGTGCACGATGTATTTTTCAAACAATGTAAAAAAAATGAATCAACGCTAAAATCTGTGACATATATTTATGGTTTGTCTGTCACAGCTGTACTGCAATGCTTACACATACAACCCATTACCGTGTCTGTTGATCAAAGTATTGGCATTTTTCTGCGAGCTTTCAATGGAGTTTGCCGGAAAAAATTCTTACTTTACGTTTTCATTTGACAAGTTCGGACTATCCGAAATAGGGTCAATCAGATTTTGAACTATCACTAGCTAGAAAATTATTGTTTTTATTGAAAAAAATATGTGTTCGAACTATCCGCCGATTCAAACTGACCAGAGGTTTACCGTATATATAAGTAAAATTACTGAATTACTTTAGTTGTCTGTCGAAACCTCAGAAGATATGAAGATAGTGTACAAACAAGACGGTTGCTTGCTACCCATGATCACACCTCTAATTATCTCCCTTTGTTTATAGGATCGATCAATTGCTGTGTGGGACATGCAGTCACCGACAGAAATCAACCTGCGTAGGGTCCTGGTTGGTCATCGGGCCGCTGTTAATGTGGTGGACTTTGACGAAAAATATATTGTATCTGCCTCTGGAGACCGAACCATAAAGGTACGTATACACAAGTTGAATGAAGAGTGAACTCGGGTCCATTTTGTAATGTAACTACTGGGTGTCATTTGTAAAATCAATCCCAGCTCGATGTTAAACCTGTGGTGTTGGTCCCTGGCCAAAATCACACAAATTTCTATAGAAATTAAAGACAAGTTATGCTGATAAATACTTGTTAAAGAGTGTGTACTAGATAGACCTGATAATTCCTAATGATTTGAAGTTAATTTGTCACTTTTTGGTTGGCTTGTAATAGTAAAGCAATTCATGTTATATGAAAATCAGAATTCAGAGTTTGATCTATTCATGTTGATAGTATGTTTATTTGTCATTTAATCTTTTTTACTCACAATCAGGAAAATGTCGCAGAAAGCAGTTCTGTGTTTACAATTTCGACATTTTCCCATCTAAATATATTGGACCTGATTCCTTTTGTTAGAAATTAGTCAGATTTTGAACTGACAGGATATTTTCACAATTCAATAGCTGCTTGCATGAATTGTAAATATATAATCATTTTAATGTTCAGAAATAACAGTGCTACTGTAGTTTGCTATTGTAGACTTTCCAGTAATTTTACTACTCCTAAATCAATATATACTGCTTCTCATCTCAGGTTTGGAGCACATTGTCCTGTGAATTTGTTAGGACGCTCAACGGTCACAAAAGAGGAATTGCCTGTCTCCAGTACAGAGACCGACTGGTAGTGAGCGGAAGCTCAGATAATACTATAAGGTATGAACTGAGAGAAATTGTTACCTAGCTTTGTTTTTACATTCATATAATTTTTTAAGGAATGTAGACAATTTTTTATAAAAAATTTGTTACCAAATATGGAGATGTTTCCTTTAGGTGCCACAGTATTTGTTTTTTGAAAGTATTTAAAAAAACACACAGTATTATATTGTAGTCTTTCAGGTAAATATTCCAAATAATTCTTATTCTTGAGGATTATTTTCTTTTCAGTACAATTGATTCCTGAATACTGGAATAAAAATAGCTATTTTCAGTAATTCTTTGTCAGACTCTCATACTACAGTTTGTTTAAACTATACATTGGAAAATCACTTTGTACATTTTCTATTATAATATCCGTTTAATTTCTGTTTTCTGAACATTTTGCTTTCTTGCCCTACTGTTGATATGTTGCAGTTGAAATGCTGAAAATATCCACGCTATTTTATCAGAGATCTAAAAAATGTAAATTAAGTGATATCATTTATAAGGTGTGGATTACCCTACTATCTACTGTTAATTAAGTCAGTTCATATACAATGTTTTGATGGGTTTTTTTGCAGACTGTGGGACATTGAATGTGGTGCCTGTCTGCGAGTCTTAGAAGGGCACGAAGAGTTGGTGCGATGTATTCGCTTTGACAACAAACACATTGTCAGTGGTGCCTATGATGGGTAAGAATTGTACAGCTGGACGAGAGTCTGTTAAAGTTTATCTATTTAATAATCAATGCATAATGCAGAAATTTTGAATAATATACTGTATGCCAGGAAATTTTCACCCTGTCAAATATTCACCCTTGGCCGATTTTAGTCCATCTTCACCCAGTGTAAATTTTGCCCTTAAGGTAATAGGATTGTGTCGCCATTTCTCGGTAGAATTTATTCAAATTTTGTAGTTATATTGCTTTGAAGTAAAGAAAATTTTCTGCCACAAAAAAAATATAGGTTGTCAGAATTTTAAGGATTTTAAATGGAAATTTATGAAAAAAGGATTGAATGTTGAAAAAAAAAATGTGTTTCTTATATTAGTATTGCATTAATGTATATCAATTTCATAAATGCTGAAGTTGTGTAAAATTAATCATCTATAAACGATTAAGAATTGACATTTTATAATAAAACCATATACACATAGTAATTGCAATCAAGAGTTATCGTTCTTGAAAAACTTCACAGTAGTGAAATAGGTAGCTGGTTTCCTGATATACAGAAAAAATGGACACATGTGACTCATTGATTTAAAAACAACTGAATTGCCTGGATTGCTTTTCAATACTTTAATATTGAAAGAACGCACTGTTCTGTCAATAATAAGCATACAATATTCATCAGTTTAATATTAAACATTAGAATATGCGGAAATTTTGATACTGTCTCCCTACATTGGATTTTCAACTAGGGATGTACTTCCTATTTCCGTTTATCAATATATTCCTATGACCTAAACATGTTATTACTATATATTGTATGTTGTGTACTTTTATCCACCGTCATGATAAATTCACTATCATTGGGGAAGGTGAAAGGTGGAAGTTGTAGCTTTGACAGATAAGGTTTGTAAATCTTGCATCACCATTCGGATTCTGTTAATATAACATGATGAATGTTATTGTTCAAATTTTGTAGCACAAACTGTGCACAAGACATTGATGTCTATTGCATCATATGTATGTATTTGAATGCATACAAGTGGCAGTTACTCAATGCAAAATATCGCAATAATTTTTATTTTACGTTCACAGAAAAATCAAAGTGTGGGACCTTGCTGCAGCATTGGACCCTCGTGCCCCTGCAGGAACTCTCTGTCTCCGAACGTTAGTGGTGAGTACCTAAGGTGTTACTATATTTGTAAGCTAATGGTAACAAGACCAACTGGTGAGGAAAAGAGTCAACTCGAGTAAATGTTTATTTCAGTGTCCTCTATCACAATTACATTTATACATCCAAAAGACATATAAAAGCTTATGGGTTACATTGCAAGAATCATTCATCTTATGTAATATATTGGAATAGTTAGATGAATATACAATCAATATGTTATTTAAGGCAGACACGAAAGAGCTGGTCGGGGGATGGGAGGAAGGTTGTCAGCGACGTATTTATAATATGTTATTATTCCAGGACATTTGACATACGAGTTTAAAGTAATTTGTAGATTGGGCACATGAAAAAAAAATTCAGTGGGGTTGGTGAGAGTCACAAAATGTGTTCCAATCTAATACAACTATTTTATAGAATAACCGTAAAGTTTTCGTTAGTTCAATTGAAGATCTTTTCAGTTAAATTGGAGATCTTTTCACTGAAGGTTATAGAACGTGTAAATGTATGAATCTTGAAATATGTTTTTGATATTTAAGAGAGAATATTTGAACTAAATAACACAAAATCATTCAATTGCCAAAGTCATAATTTTGTATAACCTTGTACATGGATACTTTTACTTGGTTCACCCATGGTCTTCCGTTAAATCAATAAGAATCCTAGTTCCTTGTCAATTTCAAATATCTTGCTGTTGCTTCGTGTTTTCTGCAGGAACATTCAGGCCGCGTATTCCGTCTACAATTTGATGAATTTCAAATTGTAAGTAGTTCACACGACGACACCATCCTAATTTGGGACTTCTTAAATGTGGCAGTGCAGGAAGGAGCAGGCCCATCCAACTCCCCAGCACGGTCCTACAACAATTTCAACAAGTGATTTCTCATCGATTGGAAACCTGACACTTGAGGATTTACATGCACCTGTGAGCACATCCTAGATCTGCTTTGAAAAGAAAATGAAATTCCACGGGAATGGATTTTTTTGTGTCCAAAAGCATCACTTTGGTGATGTATTGATGACATAGGGTCACATTTCAGTGCTAAAATGATTTTGTTTAGGTATGCTGACCTAATTCATTTTCATTTGAAATGTATTCCCTTTTTAAACTTTTGTTTGTTTGCTGGCTAACATTGCCTTATTCGAATGGCTAGGTAATTTGTGTTGCAACATGACTTCATTTCCCTGCCAAGATCTCAGACGCTGTGTGTGGCTAGGACTGCACAGTACCAAGCCCGGTACATTAATCGTTTGAGGTCATAGGTTCTGGAGACAACATCAATTGAGGATTTTCCGAAGGGAAGAGTGCTTAAACATGTAACTTGTTCAAAACATACACCACAGTTCAAAAGCAGGTTAAATCTACAGTCTTGAATCTTGCTTTTTGGTTGTCAGGTTCATTAATACACGAAAAGATCATGTCAGCTTTGTATGAAGGTATTTGTTGATTTTAAGAATGAAAGAAAGAATGGTATGCATAACGCCAATGGTCTAAGCTTATTATTGGTCGATGTATGGCTGTTCAGTGGAAATTTGTATGCAAACTCTACCAAGTACCTTGAATGGTGTGGTGCCGTGACAGAATGTTGTGTCTATTTGTAGAGATGTGTCTTGGAGTGGTTGTACATTGGTTGTTTGGTAGTCACCATTAGTAGTTGTAGTGGTAGTGCTCCTATAGACGGCAACTCTCCCTGTTTTATTGTGTAATGCTTCATGTGGACAAGTGAACATGCAGGACACATTATACAATGCTCAACTTAAATGGAGATTATTCCAAATTACTACATGGGAGGGATGGGAAACAATCATTCAGCAATCCCGTCAAATTTGGTTGTGGGGCACCAATTTTAAGAAAATCTAGATCTTTCACACTAATGCTGTTGGCTTTGTATTGATGATTGTCTATTTCCCTCCAATGCCCTTGATTCTGAAATAATTCAAACTGAGAAAACGGCTACGTTCCATTTCAGATATTTTCCAGAGTTTGATTGTTCATTAAAAACTTTGTGATATATTTTTATGTCTTCAATATTCTGATAAATCAAACTTTAATTTCGTATTTTGTCATTTGTGAATTTCCTGGATCATCTATGGCTTGTGCAATTGGGGTTAGGATCAGACGTTCTTATTTAGGAGAGTCAAAAATCCAGCAAGTTTGCTTGAGTTTTGATTATAGAATGAATACACATAGATTTTTGATACTGGAAGAAGTCACATTATTTGAGTGCAAGATTTTCTCTCTTTTCAGAATTCTGTATTAAAGATTTATATTTTTCAAATGAATTGACATGAATAGGTGTGTAGCCATGACATATATGTCCAGTTGAAAACACAAGTATTGAATCTCTTTTCAAAATATTGCTAAATTTGACACAGATCGGCAAAAAAAAATTACTAAAAAAAAGGATTTTTTTTATTAAGTTCATTATTATAGCATGTCCTTTTGCTGTTAAATATATTTTTTTCGCCCATTGCAAGAAAGGTTTCTCATGTATCATCGTGAATAATAGGGCTTTTTGTTTTATAATTATTGAGTGTGTAGTAGATGCCATCAGCATTGTAACAAGTTGATCATTTAAGTCTTAATACATTTCTTTTTGTTTATATATATTTAATTGTGTGACTTTCTGTCTGAATTTTCAAACAGATTAATTTAGGTATGAAAGTTCTGAACTGCAACATAAAAAGAAGGATTTATTCTCTTGAAGACTGAATTCAACAGTGAAGAAAACGTGGTGTACTAAGGCAATTAACTCGTTCACCCCTGCAGACACATGTTCAAAGGTTGGATTAGTCCATTATGAAATTTCAGGGGTGAATGAGGTAATATGCATGTTATACAAAATTAACCATCAAACGATTTGTGGGAACAAAAGTTGGTCAGTTGAACAATGGATGGATGTCAGAATCTGACAAGTGATTGCTATATTTCCCCCCCCCCCCCTCCCTTCAAACCAACGCATATTTATTTTAAACTAGCATAAGGCAAGAGCATCTCTTTACCCATGGTATGTGATTTGTGAAATTGATGTATGTGTGATCACAGTGGTTTTGACTATTGTACCTATGACAGCTCTGTATTATCTGTCTGTTCAGTTTTTCCCACCTCCTTGAGCCGTCATAAAACTTCTACTTTGGGGCTCATCCCACAAGTACATTTATAAACATATACAGTGTATTTTACACAGAGTCTGAAAATATCAAACATTCATGCGCATGTGTACATTTTGCATGTTGCCGTTTCAGTTAATAAGTAAGTATGTATATACACGTGCATTGAATTTGTGCATCTGTATCATTGCAGATGTAAAATAGATTTTACATGTAGGGGTGTGTTTCCGTGCTACTAGATCTAGAGCTGTAATATAATAGTGCAACATAATATATATATATACATGTATCTGTGGTATACCAGATGTGTGAAATGTGATGTCTCACACACAGTAGGGTTCTGTATGTTGAAAACTATATAGGATTAAGAGTGACAAACATATAAATAACACACCATATGTTATCCTTCAATAAATGAAAAATGATTTCGTCATTTGTGCCAAAGTCCTAGGATAATAAACCAGCATCTTACAGATCTTGGCTGAGAGCACATCATGAGTAAGTATGTATATCAAAAATAGTAAACCATAATCTGTTCTTTCAAATACATCTCGGGAGGGGGGGGGGGGATAATTCTGTTGGGAGTCTGACCATTCTAAAAAGTCTATAAAGTTAAGATTGAGGGTATCTGCATGAGTGTTGAAACTCCGAAACTGAGGAGTTATAATTTGTTTGGCATTTTCTGACTTTGATTTGATTGTATGTTTACTTTAGCAAATACTTATGTACTAAAGAAATCTTCTTTGTTATAATTTCCTTTTTCAAAGAAAACATCTCTGCATAGGGAATTTGATCCCACAACTTTTGATTATAAAGCAGGGAGGTTATCTACTTTGCTACCAGACATATCTGTTAAAGTTAACGGACAGTTATCTATGGTCTAGCAGTAACCTCTCCACAGGCCCTTAATGAACAGTCATCTATGTTTCCAACCTTGAAATCAGCTTTATTTAATGGAAAATTTTGAATGACGAGCAAAACTTGCAATTCACAAAAAGATATTGATATATTGGGGTTGTATAACTGTCTGGTATTCAGATTAATTTATGTCACCATAGATTTTCGTATATATATGGATTTCTCGCGTACCTCACAGAACTGATGTCTTAAATTATATAGCCTGATCCCGTACACACAGAATGGATATTCAATTTATGTAAAGATATTGGACAATATGTATTGTACACTATGTACTTCATAATAAGCTGTTTCAAAGGTCACAGAAATGAAAGAGAGGTCAACCTGCAACTAGGTATTGCTGGTCTAAACTAAAGATAACTTTTTTTCTTTTGAAGGAGTTCTGAAAATGAATCTAATGATTTTGATAAGGGCTCTGAAACAAAAGGAAAACGAGTAGTATTGTCTGGTATGGGTTCAGAAAAACAACTTCAAGTGATTTTTGTTTGGGTTTTGAAATAAAAACCTATTGATTTTTTGTATGGGTTCTGGGAAAACAATAGCAGCCTAAAACAGCCATCTTTATATACCATAAATGTTAGTTTTTCTGTCAAGCTCCAATAACAATAGAAAATCTCGCCTCTTGTTCTGTGATTCAATTCTAGCATCAGGTTATAATTATCAAAAAGCCTGATAAAGATGGAACACTGTATTGTGATAGTGAATTTTCTGTAGTAAACTTTTGTATGCAGGCATTTATTTTTTTACTCGGTTCGGTTGTTGGAGAGCTGAACAGAGTGATTACGCTGCTCCAGGTGTGGCAGAGCTGTAGTAACTGTGGATCTAGGTGTCTGAGCAATACTTCAGTATGCTGATCACCGTTGAGGTTATTCCTTGTGATAATTGGAATTCACGTATGTAGTTTGTCTGGGCTTGGTTTCACTAGAGCATTCAATGCGTTTTGTTTTATGTAGAGGGACCGGTTTTATGTTGTAAATTGTAGAGACTGCATGTAAATATTTTGTATGTATCATACAAAGTGGAGTAAATAATATGTGCTATATTATTGTCCAAAGTAGCCAACAGGATGAATTGTGTAATAGGTTTGGCATTGACTTACTGTTTTTTAGTTTTCATTTGATCAGAGTGAATGTAGTTTCTTTTCATTAATGGGATAAAAGTGCATAGCATTGAATGGAAGAATGTGGAATTCTGTATATATACACTTAATGTTCAATTTTCCACTACATGTTAATGGGATCAATATTCTGCTTTTACGATAGATGATAATTTTCCATCAAATTTAATGTATTGTGCTGAATATCTGTCATTTAAACTATCACAGACATAGATCCCATTAAAACTACTATCATTCACATTTTAACTATTGGGATTTGTTTATACAATTGCATTGCTTAAAAAAGATCTGAAATTACATGCCCAAAATATATTGGAATTCTCCTATTGCAAGGCAACATTTTTAAGTTGGCTTGAAAATATATAAAAATTTCGAAGAAGACGGTAGATTTCAATCCTCTGAATTGCAAACAGGGCGCTATTTGAGAGCCATTGATCAGTACTGAATCTTGTTGAGAGAGATTTCAAGTGTAAAATAGTGATGAATGAGAAACGAATGAAACAAGTGTTTTGATTTTAATATTGGCCTAATATTTCTCTTGCTATGTGTACACGTAGGTAGGTTTTGTACTGGTCGGTACACATTTCATTCATCATAATATTTCTGTGTTTTAAGTTGTTTTTGTGTATATTTCCCCTTTTTTCTTTGAAGAACGTAATATTGTGTTCACCAGAACATTTACATTTTAGTAGCGTGTGAATGACTGATTTTGTGAATATCTTCATAATCATAACCAAAGTAAAATACAACAAATATTGCATCTTTAGCATTTCAGACAGGAAGTTACACGTTATTAAGTATTTTAAAGATTGCTCATGTGGTCATAAAACATGGGTCCAATAAATAATTTTTAATCTGTCATGTTTTTAACAAAATGAAAGTTACTATTTCAACATGTATTTAGTGCTGGACAGGTAGATTTAACTGGAGAAAGGCTCTTCAGTATAACAAATGGAGAGAGAGATCCTGGAAAACGGTATCTGTGAAAGTTCACGATCAGTGCCAAAATTAATTTTACACATGATTGTAACTGAAGCAAAAATCAATCATAATATCTAGTCCTATTATTGGCATATTTCTACTGAAAGTTCCTTCCAGGAAATGAGTTTTGTGACTTTTTAGAACATGAATGAAAAAGAAACATTCTGCATAAAACTTCAAATCAATCAACGTATCATTATAATATTGTGACAGAGCTTCAAGAGGTACCTTGTTAACATCTAAAGGGTTATCTTTCTTAAGTGTAATATTTTCAAGAATTATAAAACCAGATAAAAAGTAGTAACTATTGCGTAGCAGTGTGGTAATTGTACATATGAGCGAGTCTGATGTTTCGTACAACAATATGGGCCCATTTAGTTTGTAAGGAGTGAGTGTTCATGTCTTGTGTCCGAGTTTGAGTGTTATTCTGTTATGTCAGTTATTTATTATTTATTTCCAATTACAGTTTGACATAACAATTCATTATAATGGTATAGTGCTTTTATTCAATGTAAATGTAATTTACTATACACAATTTCCTTCAAGTATTGGAAACAATAAAACTACTTGTTACAGTGATTCTGTAGTTGTGTTTTCAATAACTTAGCTTCAAGTTCAGAGAACAATTTGAAAGTTAAAAAAAAATCAAGACACTTGAAATGAAATAGCTTTTAATGGTACGATATTAAATCATCACAATTGATGATTAACTTGATTGTGACGTAAAATAGAAAGTTGACATGTATTGTCTATGATTTTTGTGGGATTCCAGGTAAGACCTAAAAATCATTTCAAAATTTGACGAACTCTGTCTAATCACATAAATGTTGTTTCGCGTGTCAATTCTTTTTTCACACGTACATCTGAAGAATTTAACCTGTGAAATGTCAATGATATTCACCAGGAAACTATTTACCGAGTTACATTCAAAGACTATTCGCATCGTTGAAATATTAAAAAAAGATATTCCGTTTTTTTACTGCGGTTATCTCCCTTCTAATAGATGTCGCAAGATATCGAAGTTGTTCCACATCATATAATAGCCAAATGTTGGGATAAATGATTTTGTGGTTTGCAAGCCTGACAACTTGTCTGAGTTCAGCTCCTACATCATTAAACTGAGGCACACTATACGTTGTTTGCTACACTTTATTGTGGGATTGAACACTCTTCATTATACGGTTGCTCATGTTTTTATTCATTGTTTGTTTGGAAACACGACACTCATTGATGGGTTGGTAACGCTTCATTGTTCTTTTGGAGACACTTCATTCATTTTTAGGTTGAAGCACACTTCATTTGTAATGTTGGTTCGAGGTACTTAATTCATTTTTTAGTTAGACACTCTTCTTTCATAGTTTGGACAGATTTCATTATATAATATAAACTTCCTGTATTTTCCAATTATGAAACTAGCTATACTATTATAATCACTATTGTTGGCACGGATGTTAGCGTGAACGTGGTCTTAATCTGGGGGGAAACCGGAGTACCCGGAGAAAACCCACCGTACATTTTCACGTCCGATCGGGGAAGCTTTCTCCGGACCGCATTGGTGAAAGGCGAGTGCGCTATTCACTGCGCCACCCAACACACTTCATTCATAGTTGTGTTGGGCACACTTCATTCATAGGTTGGTTGGCTATTCTTTATTGTTGAGTTGGACACAATCGTTTGGCAAGACACACTTTATTGTTTGGTTAGACCCACTTCATTGTAAGGTTGGTAATGTTTTATTCATTGTTTGGGTGGTTTCAGCTCATTCCTGGTTGGGTTGGTTACCCTTCATTTATGTGTGGGTTGGATACACTTCGTTACGATTCATTCATGATAAGTTTGGTTACCCTTCATTCATGGTCGGTTTGGATAAGCTTTATACATGCTTGCGTTTGATACCCTTCATTATGAACGAAGACGAGGGACATATTGTGTTTGCTTCGTTACTTCTTAGTCTTCTCTTCCGCCGTGAACTTGTCCGACCATTTTCTCGAAAACCGCAAGGCATATCTTGATGAAACTTCACATGATTAATAATGGGCATATCTAGTTGTGCATTCACGTCTTTATTTTCATATCGTTGCCATAGCAACCACACAGAGGCTTCTGATTGGTCGAAATTTAGATATTGTCCGATTTTCACTCAAATTTAGTATGTAGGAGTTCTATAGCATTGTGATCCTTTTTTATGCATCTTTGCGACTATGGGGCAGTTTGGGGGACTTCTGTAATGATCCCCCATTACAATTACTACTTGTTCAAGTTTGGGTTGGGTACGGTTAATGGTTTGGTTGAATACATTCCATTCATAGTAATGTTGGTTACTTTGTTCATTGTTGGGTCGGATACGATTCACTCGTGGTTTGGTTGAATACATTCCATTCATAGTGATGTTGATTACTTTGTTCATTGTTGGGTCGGATACGATTCACTCGTGGTTGGGTTGGGTACGGTTAATGGTTTGGTTGAATACATTTCATTCATAGTAATGTTGGTTACTTTGTTCATTGTTGGGTCGGATACGATTCACTCGTGGTTTGGTTGAATACATTCCATTCATAGTAATGTTGATTACTTTGTTCATTGTTGGGTTGGATACGCATCTTCATTGCTAGGTTATTGGTCATGTACAATTGTAGGTTGTGACACTGTTTTGCGGATTTCCCGAGTAAATAGCCAATTATTTTAACTTAAATTCTGTATTATTATATTGCAGTGGTGCGACAAAACGACAACAACCATGTATAGGAAATCGAAAACATAAATACAACTCCCAAGGGAGTAATATATTGCATATAAAGCACATAAAAACGCATGGATAGACATGGAACGTATACACATACCTAATAATATTTTCAATATAATACACGAGACTGTCGATAGTGTATTCGACACCTGCTGTAAATAGGTCAACGTCACGTACAATAATACCTGATGCAGTCATGGATAACTTTTCTGTGGCTGCATGTATCATTCCGTACGTCATCGACCTAGTTACCGAGCCGTAGATAATTAGCCACGGCCAGCACTAACGCACATGACATATAGATGTATTCACGAGGAACACGTTTATGGGTCTGGGTTGGACGAGCATAGAGCCAACAATGGGACATCCCCTACTTGCCTACCTCCCAGGTTACGTTTAATAAAGTACAGTCACGATTAAAAACGAAGAAATCCCACTTAGCATCAGTAACTACAGGACGAAGAACACACAGCACACAGCAATCCATTAGGCTTTACCCATTTGTTTTAGATAGAATATCAATAAGTTATTTGAGCTTAAGAGAGTCGGGTGTTGGACAAGTCAATTTTCAATTCAATTTATTACCAAATGCACATTGCATATAGGCGTGCAGAAATATACATATAGATAAATACTTTACAAACATCTTGTACAATGGCGGAGAGCATATGCAATAGATTCAATTCCATACATAATATTTACAAATTATGAAATTGGCATAGGTTTGGGCAAACTTTAAGGTTTTCCTAAGGTAACTTAGCGGACTCTTATGAGGCATAATTTAGTTGCATAATTTAGTCGTTTAGGAAATAATACAAATAAAGCCTTAATCTTACCAAATTTCTAGGAAATAACAAAACTTCAAAGTCAATCATACAACCTCAACATGAAGGTAGAACGAGTACTATATATTATATAATGAAATGAGATTATAACTTATTGTGAAATAAAAGACATAGATCTCAATCGCATTATACAGTAACAAAACGTTTATAGCAAGAATTTGATACAGCTTATATTTCATAATATACGACTTCTCTTAACAGTTGCCTGAATCAAGTACTTACTTAAATTTCTAATAAGTGTAAAAATTTCGCTAGACAGTAGCTCTATTAATTTAAACACAGAAGGACGAATACGATAATATGGCTTGATATACGATACTCTTAATTCTAAAAACACAGGACACATAAGAATGAAATGAAACTCATCCTCGACATCTCCAAGATCACATAAAGTACACAATCTCTGGTTTCGAGGCACTGCATTATATCTACCTCTCTCTATATTAAGGTTATGTGCTTGCAATCTATATTTCGCAAGAATAAATTTATTTTTTCTAAATAGCGGTTTTGCAAAATACCATTGTAGATCAAAACGGTCAACAATGTGTTTATACAACAAACATTTTGAAGATGTCTCGAATATGTTTCTCATTTCCTGAATAAAAGTATCCTTTATGCGTTGTATATATAATAATAAAAAAAGATTTCTCATTTGGTACACATTGTGCCAACCACACATCTCCAAAACCCAACGTACACAAATTACGTTTCAGGTGATAAACCCAATTTGCTTTACAATTTGGTTTCCTGTTATAAAGCTCTAAAAGTTCATCGTAACAGTCCCTCAAAATACAGTTATTAGTCTTTAATATTTGCAGCCAGTACTTTACAATAGCAATCCTACGCTGTATATGCAAAGGGTAACGACCAAGTTCAAAATACACCATGGCATTATTTACTGTTTTCCTTACACCCAATACGGTTTTCAAAAATAATAAATGTATATTTTCAATCTGATGTGCAGGACTATAACCCCACTTCACACCCGTAATTTACAATACATGATATATAAGTATCAAATAAAGATAACTTGGTCTTTTCATTCAACAAAAATCTTTTCGCTTTCCGATTAAGAAGAAAATAAGCTTTCCTTCCTTGTACAGCAATTGTTTTCAATGCAATGGTAAATTTACCGTTATAATTAAAAACCAATAGCAATGTTGATCTACCACTTCTATAGCTTTACCATCAAAAATCCACTGCTCGTTTGGATACAATCGTTTAGCTTTCCTAAAAACAACTATTTTTGTTTTGTCTACATTG